GAACAGTGTAGACATGACCGAGACACGTCTCCGGTCAATAACCAATAGCGGAACCTGGATGCTCATATTGGCTCCTACATATTCTACGAAGATCTTTATCGGTCAGACCGCATAACAACATACGTTGTTCCCTTTGTCATCGGTATGTTACTTGCCCGAGATTCGATCCTCGGTATCTCAATACCTAGTTCAATCTCGTTACCGGCAAGTCTCTTTACTCGTTCCGTAATACATCATCTTGCAACTAACTTATTAGTTGCATTGCTTGCAAGGCTTAAGTGATGTGTATTACCGAGAGGGCCCAGAGATACCTCTCCGACAATCGGAGCGACAAATCCTAATCTCGAAATACGCCAACCCAACAAGTACCTTCAGAGACACCTTTAGAGCACCTTTATAATCACCCAGTTACGTTGTGACGTTTGGTAGCACACAAAGTGTTCCTCCGATAAACGGGAGTTGCATAATCTCATAGTCATAGGAACATGTATAAGTTATGAAGAAAGCAATAGCAACAAACTAAACGATCAAGTGCTAAGCTAACAGAATGGGTCAAGTCAATCACATCATTCTCCTAATGATGTGATCCCGTTAATCAAATGACAACTCGTGTCTATGGTTAGGAAACATAACCATCTTTGATCAACGAGCTAGTCAAGTAGAGGCATACTAGTGACACTCTGTTTGTCTATGTATTCACACATGTATTATGTTTCCGGTTAATACAATTCTAGCATGAATAATAAACATTTATCATGATATAAGGAAATAAATAATAACTTTATCATTGCCTCTAGGGCATATTTCCTTCATGCAGAACCCAAGGGAAGGTATATGGTGGTAGGTAGGCAAATGGTAAAACCAAGGTTGGGCCTTGCTGGAGGAGTTTTATTCAAAGCGAACTGTCAATGGGTTCCCATAACACCCAACCGCGTAAGGAACGCAAAATCAAGGAATATAACACCGGTATAACGGAAACTAGGGCGGCAAGAGTGGAACAAAACACCAGGCATAAGGCCAAGCCTTCCACCCTTTACCAAGTATATAGATGCATTAAAGTAAACAAGATATGTAATGATATCCCAACAATAAACATGTTCCAACAAGGAACAAACTCCATCTTCACCTGCAACTAGCAACACTATAAGAGGGGCTGAGCAAAGCAGTAACATAGCCAAGCAACAGTTTGCTAGGAAAAGGTGGGTTAGAGGCTTGACATGGCAATATGGGAGGCATGATAAAGCAAGTGATAGGTATCGCGACATAGCAATAGAGCGAGCAACTAGCAAGCAAAGATAGAAGTGATTTCGAGGGTATGGTCATCTTGCCTGCAAGGTACTCCGAGTAGACGAAAGCTTGATCCTCGTAAGCGTACTCAACGGGTTCCTCGATCACGTGCTCGTCTCCCGGCTCTACCCAAGGCAAGAACACAAGCAAAGGAAAACAACAATCAACCATGGTGCAATGCGCAAGCGACATGATGCAAAACATGACATGATATGCGGGATGTGATATGCAATGCATATGCGTGCTTCGGAAAGGAAAGATTGAACCAGGCCTCAACTTGGCAAACCAAGTGTGCCGCTGGAAAGATGAGTTGATTTCGGTCGAAATCGATATAAAGATCACCGGAATCGGATGCATGATTTGGAAATGGCAAGCAAAACAAGAATGACACAATTCTACGATTAACAACACGATGCCATCTAGAATGCAACGAGAAACTAAGTTACTGCACTCCAACATAGCAACAAAGCACATAGTAGTGATCTACTCAAGATACTTGACAAAATCACACAAGAGCAGGTTCAAACAAGCATGGCAAAAGTGCAAAAGATATCAGACTTAGTGAAAATACTAACATGCCAGGAATTAACATCAGGAAGCAATGTTTAGAGAAAGATAATAACATGCTACAGGAACAGAACATAGCAAACAAATGCATGGCATGAATCTACTCAAAGTATATAACAAAAATCCCTTACTGACCATAAGCCAAAAGGGCACAGAAAATATGATGGCACCTATGTAAACGTAGCAAGTTTCGTTAACAGATTCAGACTTAGCAGAAAACTGGACACGGCATCAACAGAATTATGAAGGCATGTTTGCGAGCTCGATGCACTCATCATAAGGCATTGCATGACAAGTTAAGCATACTGCCAGCAAGAAGACATGTACACGAAACTAACCAAAGCAATAACAAACTCATATCATGCATGGATCAACTACAACAACCTTGGCAAAATTGATTAACACGTAAACAATCTGTCAGGAACATTTTATAGCAAAAGTAAAGTAAGATTGAGTCATGCTAGGGCACTCCATAAATGCAAACATGGACATGGATGGATAGAGCATAACCATATGTCCAAATCATCCTTACTGAACATACTCAAAAGAAGTATGGATCTCCCTGTAGCAACATGAATACATGGCATAAAAATAAGAGCAGAGCAAAGACTTAGTGAAATTCTAAGTCCCTGAAATCAGCAATATCAGGAGAGCTACTTTGCATGCATGTGCTAGTCACCATATTGATCACAAAAATACATGGCATACACCCCTGTAAAGATGGCATGGCATAGCCCAAAACACATGTAGAGCTCATGCTCATATGTAGCACACAGTAAACATGGCAAAAATGACAAATGCTCAAGATCTGTTAAGAATCAGGAACTAACATTTTATAGCACTCTTGCATCAACGATTAGTGCATCAAGATGGACTCAAACAAGCATGGTGCAATGGAACAAAATGAAGAGGACATCATGATGAACATTTTGATATATGGCACGCCCAAAACGGAGCTACGGATGCAGAGTTATGACATGATGAAAAGTGCTTGAAAAAGTAACAGAAAAGGACTTAGAGAGATTTTGAAGTCAACCCTAGGGTTCTCTGGATCTGGATCTGAGCGCGTGGAAAACGAGGTTGGCCGGGGTCTTCGCCGGGGACTTGCCGGAATCTGGGAAGAAGAGGGCCAGGGGGCGGCTCGCCGGAGTGGGGCTTGCCGGCGACCGAAGTTGGAGAGGTGGACGGGGCGACGAGGCGTCGGAGGCCGGTGGCTGTGAGGTCGGTGGTGGGCGCCGGCGGAGCGGAGGCGGCCGGCGGGTGGCGGCGGAGACGCGCCGGCGCGGGTAGGTGGCGAACGGGGTGGCGGAGCTCGCTGGATCGGCGGCGGAGTCGGGCGCAAGCGGCGGAAGACGACGCGGGGGCGGCGGGCCCGATCTGGCCTGGGGCGGACCCGATCTGGGCTCCCTCGGGCCACGGTGGCGGGGAGGAGAGAGGAGGTCCGGCGGGACACGTGGCGGCGTGCTAGAGGAGGAGGGAGGCGGCGCTGCTGAGGTGGCGGCTCCGGATTGGCTGGAGTGAGGTGGCCGGGCGCGACAGACATGTCCGAGCAACGGGATTTTTGTCCGGCGGCGCGGAGAGGAAGAAGGTTAGGGTTTCATCCGTGAATTTTCAGGGGAGGTGCAAATATATAGGTAGAGGGAGTTAGGAGAGTCCAAATGAGGTGCGGTTTTCGGCCACACGATCGTGATCGAATGACCGAGAGGATGGAGGGGGTTTGGATGGGTTTGTGGGCTGACTTGGAGGGGTGTTGGGCTGCAACACACACGAGGCCTTAAAGTTCCCCGGTTAACCGTTGGAGTATCAAACGAACTCCAAATGGCACGGAACTTGATAGACGGTCTACCGGTAGTGTACCAAGGCCGCTTGACAAATCTCGGTCCATTCCGAGAAAGTTTAACACCCGCACACGAAAAGAGACAAAAAGGGGGCGCCGGAGGACGTAGGAGTGTCGGATTGAGAAACGGACAACGGAGAAAATGCTCGGATGCATGAGACGAACATGTATGCAAATGCGATGCTTATGATGACATGATATGAAATGCATGGCACGCAATCAAATGACAAAGCAACAACAGCGAATAACTGGAAGACCCGGCGCAACGGTCTCGGGGCGTTACATCACGCGTCCATGCAACCGCAAATATGGATCATTGACCCATTCAGATCTTGCATCGATTGTAAAGTGAACGCACGCATGCTGGACTATAGTGAGACTACCCTATACATGCGGCGACAACGTCGAACAAGTGTAGCGGAAAAGAAACATGATTGACCTAAACAGTGAATGGTTGCTTTGTCTTTTGCTGGTGGTCTACGCGTGCTGGATTTTAGCTTCCTACCTATGGCCCCGACCTTGGAGAATGAAGATTGGGGCTTCATTTTCACGTGATTAGGGGTGATCGGTGACGAAGCTAATCATTCGGTGATGCTGCATACGCATGGCCGCCTAATCACTATCAAGGGGAAACATTTCCTTGGGGGTGAGGGGTCTCGCCCCCACTCGCCCCCCTTGGATCCGTCCCTGCCTTTGAAGAATCCCATAATTAGCTGGGTAACAAACTATATATTTTTATTTTTTTGACAATAATATGACTTTATTCATCAAAGGACCGAAAGATCGTTTACAATCATGGATGAAATAAAAATCAAGGATGAGATCATTCCAAAATGACAAAGATCTAGTAGTAAAGCCAGACTTAGCTAAACAATCCACCACTTCATTTTGCCTCTCAGCAATGATGAAAATCAATACTACCAAAACTACTAACAAGTTTTTGCCACAAACCATATTTTTGTTAATCAATGGAACATAATGTTTTCGCCTCACATTTCGAAAGAAGTGCAATCTTTGAATCAGCTACCTAGCTTTATTGACGTATGCCGTTTTCTTTAAGGACCGTGGTATACAAACCAATTGTCTTCTTCAGATAAATCGCAAAACCAATTGTCTTTCTTCAGATAGAGTAAACCGCAAAAGAATTGCCCTCGATAATCATCATTCAGACACGCCTTCTCGTTTTATTTACGTAGTTCTGTAAATACGTATTCAGTTCATAACATGTGTTGTCTCGTCTTCCTTCTCCCCCACTCCGCATCGTCAGTCCCCTGATCCCCTCTGTTTCTGCTGACCCACCAAAACCCTAATGGCTTCCCGCCTCCTCCACCTGCGCCGCCTCCTCCCGGCCGCGCGCCCGTCATGCGCCGCCGCGTTCTCCACCGCCGTCACCCCGACCCCGCAGGTCTCCGGTCTCGTCGACGAGATCTGCGGCCTCAACCTCATCGAGGCCTCCTCCCTCGCCGATGCGCTGCGCGGCCGCCTCGGCGTCGACCAGCTCCCTCCCCTAGCCATCCTCATGGGCGGCGCAGCCCCGCTGGCCGGAGATGCTGCCGGGGCCGGCGAGGAGGCGAAACCCAAGGAGGAAAAAATGGCGTTCGACGTGAAGCTGGAGGGGTTCGACGCCGCGGCGAAGCTCAAGATTATCAAGGAGCTGAGGGCGATCACGAGTTTGGGCCTGAAGGAGGCCAAGGAGCTCGTGGAGAAGGCGCCGGCCGTGCTCAAGGCCGGGGTTCCCAAGGAGGAGGCGGAGAGCATCGCCGAGAAGATGCGGGCACTGGGCGCCAAGATTGTTCTCGAGTGAGAGGACGAGATCTCTGTATGCCTTTGCTTCTTGATTTCTTCCTGTTTATTGTACGAAGGAATTAGAGAAATTTTGGTACTAAGGAGTCAATAATTGACGAGACTGACTCTAGATATCCTCTCGTTGATAGTGGAAATGGCAGTTGAGCTTTTGAAAGCATGGTTATAGAATTAACGATAGAGCTTTGAGCTTTGTCTTATGACTGTTTGTTTGAGTGTGAGCAAGGGAGAATGCATTTCTTAGAATAGAGCAATTAGTTTATGACTGGATTTCTGTCATACCATTTCCAGTAGTGATTTGTTTTTTGCACAGGGTATCTAGGTAATGCATCTTTCATGTACTCCCTCCTTTCTATTTTATAAGACGTTTTGTACAGCTGACATTGAACTGTTTTGTGCTCTGTCTGAATTGCCTAAACGTCTTATAAAAGAGAACAGAGGGAGTATCGGTGTTCTGCTGTTGCTAGGTAGTACAATGTTGTGAAATTTGCAGTAACAGGAAGTGAGATTTTGGAGAGGTCTTATTATGTCCTTCAGTGCTTGTTACTAATTCGAACTAGACCAAAAGCTTCGATCTAGATGGTAGTAATTAGTTGAAATGGTAATGTGCGGTTGTGCACTTCTCTATGTTTTGCGCTTCTGCAGTATATGGATACATATGAAATGTTTAAGCTGCTGACATAGTCCAAGGTACATTTAACTGCAAACTATTTATGTTGTGGTTGAAATGAGACCTTGCTGAAGTACACTTACCGAGGGTGTTGTTGGAGATCACGACAAATGATATGACTATGTGGAAATGACTATGCTTATTAGTTGATTACGTTTATGAAAACTCTGTATAGTATACTTTTAGATTTTTTTAATTTCTAATAATTATTCTTAGATGGCCTATGTTAATTGGCTTGTGGGGTTGAGCAGAAGTTCCGAAACTATCCCAGCGTTCTGTCAGCTATTTATAATATATAGAGATGGCATGAGTTTTCTGAAGTATACTCACGCTTAGGATAGACACTGGAAACAGAGAACCATTTCTTTGTATGCTTTGGGCTATTGTAGCATCTGTTAGCTTGGCCTTCTCATTCACAGTTCTGTGACACAAGATGCTTGTTTGTTGTTAGGGCCTGGGTGCCTGGTGATTTGTTGTTCTACTTCATTCGGTCACTGACATGTGAAACTACATAGTCGTATTGGTTGGTGCACACACGAGAATTGGAAAACAGTGTGAACGATAGGGAAAATATGTAGCTGCATTTTTCAAGAAGTAAGAATGGCTACTCATGCTCTTTCAACCTCAAATGTATTTCCGATATCTTCGATGCATGGTGCAATTAAAGTTTAAAGATGAATGATCAATGTATATCTTACCACTTGAATTTTTTGGCATGAGGAATGCTACTAATTCTGTCAGATATATAAAAATTAGGCGTTTCTGTTGTGATTTGTAAGAGGAAACAAAACTTATCTTTGTTTTAGCAGTACAAATTTCTCAGTTTTGTAAATCCCCGACTTTCACACGTTGAAGCATGACTATACGAATCAGGTAAGTGCCTGCTCCTACACTCTTGATGGGCATGTGTCATACAAGTGTCAAAGAAAGGCCAATTTGCCATTAGCTCCATCATATGAAGAGCAGGTAGCATGGAGAAAGTGGAAAATTGAATTTCTACATAGATATGCGAGCACTGAAATTATGTGTACCAAGTGCCCACTCTGAAGACAATACCAAAGCTTTAACCTCTGATTATTGAAGCACCTTCACATGGGTCTTCTAACTTGCTTTTGATTATGTTTGTGGTAATTGTCATCATCTGGTTTCGTCTGTTTTGATCCCTATGGAATTTGTGCTTTAAAACCATCCTGATTGTGCTACAATTCCAGACGTACCCCTTTGCCTGTGAAAGTTTGGAGAAAGCAAGGTACGTGTATTACCTTGAAGTATCGGATCTGTAACATTGCTGTAGAGAGTTAATACTTCTTTTCAAGGAAGAACCAGATTTTGGTAAACAAATTAATGATGTGTAGATTATCTTGTCTAGAATGTATGGTATGATATTTTGATTGTGCAAGAGATTTTACCAGTTAAAGATTCTTAAGCAGTTTCTGTGAAGATCATTGCTGTGCTTGCACCTTGTGTTTTGTGTATGTTTTGGTTGCTACTTGTTGCAGCAGTGTATATGGGAGTTGAAGTTGGCTCAATCAGCTGTTGATTCTGCCGATTTTTTTTCTGATCTAATAGTCCAGTTTTTATCACATCAGTTTACCTGCGAACACTGCAACATAGTGCATGACTGCCTGGTCTTATCTTCCGTTTACACGGTGAATTGTGTGCAGCTGCTGCATTTCATATTTCTTTTTCAGCGACTACTGAAACTCCGAACTCCATTAGGCATTTGCAGAATCACCCAGACACATACCTGTGTACAGTATTAAATTGTGGCACACGCACCGTTAGGTTTTATGCAGCATTATGATATCTTTTCTGAAACATACAAGAAATGAGTTTGTGGTCACGTTCTTCAAAGGGCATTTCGTCACGTTCCCGTTGCCGAGGAAGATGGTGCAGCCTTTCTCGCCGGCAGGGCAGCAGTTGCACGCTCGACCGGCACGTCATGTTCATCGCATCCTCGCAGCACATGGCGCAAACCTTCCCTTCCTTTCTTGCCTCGGTGTTTTGTATGGATCCAATCACGATGAGCCCTGCACGATCCAGAGAACGGAAACAACTCCTCCATGATGAGGATGGTTAAGGTATATGACGTGAAAACTGAAACCAATGCAATCCGTCTTTTCATCCTTGAACAGTGCGTTCAAGTTCCGGACATCTTCCAAATCCAGGTGGATTCCAATCAATTCATTACTTATTCCAGGGCACAAACTTGCCATTCCATTCCATTTATCAGTTGTTGCAAGACACAATTGCCGCTTTATTGAACTCAAGCTCAAACACGATATCGCAAGAAGAACACGACGAACGCGTGCAGTGTACAGCAGTACTTTTCAGCACTTGGTTTTGGGGCAGTCGTAGGTCGAGCCGTCGTCGAGGCGGAGCACGCAGTGCTTGCCGTCCTTGGGCGCGCACACGCAGGCGCAGCCGTCGAGCTTCTGGCCGGGGTAGTTCTTGCAGGTGATGTGCCCTCCCTGTTTGCACCGGACGAGGTCGCAGGTCGCCTGGGCGTCCCCGAACACCACCAGCACTGCTTGATGCACAACAAAAAGCTATCCGGATAAAGTGCCGGAGAGAGCGTATCACACGAGCGTGCGTGGTTGAAGTGAGGATACGAATGGAGGGGTACCTGAGAGGAGGAGGATGAAGGTGAGCGACAGCTTCATGGTGGCAGCCATGCTTGTCAGCTTGTGTGTTGCGTTTTGAGTCCGTGCGATCTGTGGTTGCCTGCAGCACCGGTGCGTTTTATACAAAGAAGCTCCGGACATGTACGCCTTCCATTGAATCTACGGATCCGCCGTCCTCTTTGACTTTGTGCCGCGTAGTTAAGGTTCAGCAGAGATTTGACGCGAAATCACGTGGTACGCACTGCTGATAGTAATACGTACTCCCTCCGTTCCAAATTACTCGCCGTGGACGACGAGTAATTTGTAACGAGGGAGTACGTGCTTATGTCTTCGGCCATTTGGGACGTGTTTGATTAACTGCATGGAGTTCAACTAGGCCCGCGCGAGGTGAAATTGAACTGTTTGGGTGCCTGCATTCACTGTTTGGCCTGCATAGCATGAAACTTAAAC